TATAAGATGAAGGTGACCGTGTAGTCATCAAAACGTCACACTCTAATCTTCTACTGGTTGTGTTATGAGATGAAGGTGACCGTGTAGTCATCAAAACGTCACACTCTAATCTTCTACTGGTTGTGTTATAAGATGAAGGTGACCGTGTAGTCATCAAAACGTCACACTCTAATCTTCTACTGGTTGTGTTATAAGATGAAGGTGACCGTGTAGTCATCAAAACGTCACACTCTAATCTTCTACTGGTTGTGTTTAAGATAAGATGTCACATTAAAATCTTCTACTGGTTGTGTTATAAGATGAAGGTGACCGTGTAGTCAAAACGTCACACTCTAATCTTCTACTGGTTGTGTTATAAGATGAAGGTGACCGTGTAGTCGTCAAAACGTCACACTCTAACCTTCTACTGGTTGTGTTGTAAGATGAAGGTGACCGTGTAGTCATCAAAACGTCACACTCTAACCTTCTACTGGTTGTGTTTTAAGATGAAGGTGACCGTGTAGTCATCAAAACGTCACATTAAAATCTTCTACTGGTTGTGTTATAAGATGAAATCAAAACGTCACATTAAAATTTCTACTGGAAATGATTCACCTGAAATTTTCTACTGGTTGTGTTTAATTTATAAAAATTTATAAAAGAACTTTTGCTGATGCACCGATGTGTATTGCATTTTATTCTCAACTTAAAACTAATAGAACAACGAACTGATTGATGTCATAGCGAATTCTATCTGATTAGCCCCACAAGGATGAATTCTCTAGTTTTGCACCTTTGCGCATTTTTCATCCGCCACAAATTTTTTTTATTGCTTTCTTCATCAAAATCATTAATTATTGAAAATTCAAAAACCAACGTGTGTAATATGAAAATAATGTGTTTAAAAAACATTTCTACAATACCAATCAAAACACATACATGCATTAAATGATAAGTTGTATTTTTGACTAGATTAATTCACAAGTTCCGGTTTCAGGGGCTCAGTGGTAAAATGACCAACATATGCTACAGATATTAACAGACGTTATTGAAAACACGAACTACCTGCCCTAAAATCTCGAAAATAACACGCGACTTATTTTATTTAATAGCAAGATAATAAAGGCTTGCTAAGTAAGAAATTAAACCTTATTTTCATGATAAGATTATCTTTAAGGTCGGCTTGTTGTCGAGTTTTAGATTATTTAAAAAAAAAACCAGGTTATATTTATGATAAAGAAATAGACGATTTCTTTCTTTGATGTAAGATGAAAGAGTTTTAATGCAAAATCATCAAAAAAATATTTTTCATTTTTATCATCAAAGCCCAATTAAACATATCCCATAGGTAGAAATTATTCCTCTTTCAATCAGCAAATTACATTAACTTCATTGAAGTGGTCCTATCACTTTTCAACATTTTAGAAATGTGTTTACGATTTAAAGTTTAATTCGCTGAAATTTTACCTGTTTCAGCATATCACAGCACTCACAGTGAAGTACTAGCATCAATTTTTGTTTTATATCCTAACATGTCTCGATTTTTTCTTCTTTCGCACTTTTCATTCTTAAAAATACATTGTATAATCTTAATTATTTCGCTTTCTCTTACATAATTCAGGTATATCAAACACCCACCATCCTCTCTTCGTCAATGTTCTTTACAGGAAAATAATCGCTGACATTTTCTTTAATTGCTATCCTGTTGCATTTCAATCTTTCTTTGCTACCGTTTAATAGCAATGATACCGTTTAATAGAAATGCTACCTTTTAATAGCAATGCTACCGTTTAATAGCAAAGGAAGAAATATCGCTCAAGCCGGATTAAACCGGGCTCGTTCAATGTCCTCAATACTGCGATTATAATAAAATCTGATTGACTTGCATTATCAAACGTAAAGTTGATTCATAAACGCGTGAACATTCACAATTCATTAATGATTTTCAAATGAATCAATAAATTTGTAAAGAGTTCATCATGCCAACGGAAGTCAGGAACGCAAGACCGGAAGTCTTCGACCTTCAATGAACGCAAACAAAGGTAGTTCAACGAGTTCGGTATGTTATTTCATGCATATTAGTCTTGTATATGAACTTAAGGTGTGCTAAACATACCCAGCCCTAGTTTTGTTTTAGTTGTGACTGGTATGAAGAAGGTAATGTTAAAATTGGTTCTTCTTTAGGGCCTTTCTTTCTGACAAGAGGTACATGTATATGTGTGTGTGTGTGTGTGTGTGTGTGTGTGTGTAACTCGTTTTGATGCATCCGTGGTGTAAATTGTATGTGAGGGCGTGTGTGTCATTCATATGATTCACTAACAAGAATTTATCCGTTAATTGAAATACCCAACCCAGTGAACTACCTTTGTAAGCGTTCAACGAAGGTGGAAGACTTCCGGTCTGGTGTAAATGACTTCCTGTTGAAAACTCAGCTCTTATCCGATTTATCGATTGATACCAATGAATGATCTGTTAAGGCTGATTCATTAATAAATCAACTGCATCTTTTATGAAGCAGGTCGATAAGATTGAACCGATGTAGATGTGTAAGAGTTCTCCATTATCTCGACTATAGGATATCTGTTTACTTTTGTAAATATCAGATTCTGTTGATAGTCATGAGAAAAACAAACAAACAAAAGCCCTATATCTGACAAATATTATAATAAAAGTAATAGAGAAAACAATTAAATGAATGATCAAACAGTTCTAATTAGAACAAAAAAACGCTTTCTTCACTTCATCTTCTCAACATTGCCATCTAATTTCTGGATACTTTGAAGAAATGTTCAGATAAGATGGCAGCTTTATTTGAGTTCGGACCGACCCGAAAAATAACAAGACATGGTTCAAACCATTTAGGATATTTCAGACAAGTTTGTTCTGAATTCCACAAGTGGATCTTGAGAAGAGGCTTTGAAAAGGTGTAGTTCAGGAAAACCACGATTGCGCAAACACGTTACAAAATGGCCGCTGTGTCTGCTATGTCAAAATTTAGCTTCCTTTCCTTAATTTCAGTATCAATTTTCAGCTAAATTTCACCAGCGGAGCTTGCAATTGAAAGTTACTCTAGACGCCGAACATGACGGTTATGTTAGATTTTGAACTTACGACGTCATCAGTGAAGCCAGGCGTACGCAACGTGGCTGAGAATTAATTATGTAACACTTCATCATATTGCTTTATAAACAACAACAACAACAACAAAAACACCAACAACTTCAACCTTACTTTCATCTTCACAAAGATTTAAAGATTCGTGAAAAACACTCGAAGTCGTGTCCCTTCATTACACAAGGAAAACAGACGTCTTAACAATCTGTTGTTCCCACACAACGATACTAAACTTTCCGGGAAACTCCATTTGTTATTAGACAGGCGGTTCGGAACCGTTTTATGGACATTGGTTAGTAAAACGTGTAACAGTTTCTGTGTAAGGCAGCCAGGCGAGAAAACTAATGGGACGAGACGATACAAGTTAGAATTGTCACATGGGACAAATCTCGTTATACACGACGGACAAACTTCCATTTGTAGAGATCTGAAATAGCCTGGCAGGTTCAACCGTTCAACAATTTGTCAACTTTAACAGTGATCGAATCAATGTTTTCAATTCTACAATTTATTGAAACATTGGAAGCTCACGGTTTAGAAATCATATATCTAGCTTTGAGAACGCTATATGATGTTAAGAAAGACATACAAAGAAGTTTCATGGTTATCATATATTTTGAAAAACCGATTTCAAAGTTTACGACGAGGACCCATCAAGTGAATTATGCTTTGAGTTAGCTATGGTAGGTTCCAGTGCGTTACCCCAACATTTTCTCTGTTGTACACAACTTGTCTAGCTGGGTTCTGAACGTCGCACCTACATTCTCTAACTTAAGCTCAATACTCCAATGTTTTGAAAACAAAATAGATATAAATTGAAGCAACTGCACCGTTTTTAAGCGATATCCGTATTGAACAAAATATTGCTATCATCAGGGACTCTAAACATCACCAACGTCTTGTCAGCCTCCGAGTTAGCTTTACGGACGTAACGTCGAGGAACATTTTATCTCCTTGTACGATTTGAAGTCTGACAAGTTTCATGCTTGTTAGTATACCTGTAAGTCACGCTATTGTCACCCTTGCTCTGATTTTTGAAACTTGGCATTACTTATTTGGACTGAGATTTATGCACTGTATGATGGATGTCGTTTACATACCTACTCTTCAGAAAGATCTGGCCCCACTTGTATAAAACATCTCAACTTGAGATTTCCTCAAGTCGAGATTTTCCTCAGCTAATATCTCCTTGAAAATATCTTGTATGAAAATTCCTCAAGGACATCCTAGTCGATGCCTTCCTCCTGTTCCTTGAGAAAATTTTATACAAGCCGTTTTTGAGGAGATATCAGCTGAGGAAAATCTCGACTCGAGGAAATCTCAAGTTGACATGTTTTATACAAGTGGGGCCTGGTCTTGTTCTCCTTGTACTTTTTCAGAGGTCACGTGGTAAATCTTTCGCTTTGCTCTAGATCCATCGAATAGAAGCTTGTATTCTGCTGACATGTGGATATTTTCTTTGTTGTCTTTAGCTACAAGCTGTTCTCAAAACTTTAAACAGTCACTAATTCAAACTTAAGCTGACCTTATATACTGTTGGTTATTTGTGTTTTGACCACACTCGTTGAGCAACAAACTTAAAGTTAGAATTTGTTATTTTCGTGGTCTTTTGTTTTTGTTTGTTTGTTTGTTTTTCTTTTTTCTTTTGAAAACAAATGCAGTCTCTTGAAAAAATACAAAGATGATAAGAACAGGTGTTCTAGAAGAGTAAGCGTCTTCTGTTTCATCAACGACACCATGTCAACCTTGGTCAACCCAAGTTAATATTGTCACGTAAACCAGGTAAACAACAACAGAACAACCATACATGGTTAGTATGATATTTGCTGAGACGTTCTTATAACAAACATTGACGTCAGGACGGATAGGCGAACATGCGGACAAACAAATCAAGGGGGATCACTCACCTTGGACTGGTATATTCATTATAGGAGTATTTTGCTCCTTTTCTAAAGATCCCTTCTCTCCCATGCTTGTTCCTTTCGTCATACACACGTCATCCACCCGGTCAATCTTAAAGAAAAAAATACACACATTTCAAAATATTTGCAAATATTTGTACTAAATGTATTTCGAAATTTGATCTGACTCTGTTGCAATTAAGACCATTGTCAACATCAAGTACCTATCTAGTGACGCAGGATATACAATACTCCTAACTTACATTTTGGATATTGTCATTCAGTTTTCCTCCCGAACTGTTGTGATATCTCTCATTCAATATCTATTTTCTGACCTTCCATTCTCTCCTTTCCCTATCAATTTGGTATCCTTCGTTACTTTCCTTTCGCTATAACCTGGTGGCCCTTCCAATCTCCCCCCTCGGTATAAGCTTATGCTTTCCCTTCGCTATACACGGCTGTCCTTTCATTCTCCCAATCTTAGTAAGTATTTATTATTTTCTAACTAATGCCCAGCAACCCTCAAAATCGAACCGCTGCCCTTCCATTTTCCTCCCTCATTACATTTTCCCATCCCAATTCTGCATAGATTTCCAATCTACTTTCTTCCGTCACAATCTTGCGGCCAGTCTTCCAGTCTTTCAGGAACTAAACCTCCCCTCTCTTAATTTCAAGTTTCCAAGCCAGCTATATACGTTTTCCTTACTTTCTTTATCTACTGAAATAAGAGCTTTATTAACTTAAGAAACAGTTTAACTCATAACTTCTAAACTCCCTTTTTTCTTGAAAAATGCTCCTGCTTCGATCTCGCGACAAATTCTACATCGCATTCTGTTGTCAATATTTCTATCATCATTAGCAAATAATCACTGTTCACAGACGCTTGAAATTACAATTTTGTAGAAGAGCTCCACCTGTCGGTAGAGTTTAAATGAGCTCAATCATCTCGTTATTAGACAATTCTCTTGACGAGAGTTTGCTCTGAGATGTTGAATATTTAAACAGGTAACAATTGTCTGTATTTGGCGGGGCGTGTGGGGGTGCTTTCTGTGTCACTGGAGTTTGTAACATCTATGGAAATATCTTCCTTAAATTCACGTGATTTTCAAGTTACTTCTTTTACGATTCTTTCGAACGAGAGTTCAGATAGACTTTGAACCCTCTAATCTATTACATGAATATATATTGATGCACTGATTGACACGTTTCTTCCTATTCCACATTACATTTCCTAATTTAGAAATAACGAAAGTTAATTTGTATTAGATATGACGAAAATAAACAAATACAAGAGTTCAAAGTTGAAAAGGTGTAACGTGAGCCGAGACCGATTCTAATGCTTGTACTTCCGGTTTTATTTCTTCATTAAACTGTGGTTGGTACTATGTTGTCTTAGCTACTGTCAGATAAAATAATATATTTCAATATTTTATTATCTAGTGAGTCTTTGGTACAATCTTGTAACAGTGTTTGTATTTGAAGTATTTGGAGTATGTAGGCTGTCGCTATCCGGATGAGACAACTCAAGATGGCGGCGACGAAGTAGATTGTATGGTAGAAGCGACAGTCTGGCCCCAACCTTATATTACCTATAAGATATGCAATTTTCTGATAGAGGTGTTGAATATCATCATCTACGCGAAAAGTACAAACCAGATTCGAAATCCATGATTATTAATCCGAAGATAATGTTGATCGTAAATGAGAATTTGATTTTGGTTAAAATGCGAGGATTTTTCATTTTTATAACAGTTTTCTTAAACGTTTAACAAAATCTCATGAACAGCTGTACCTTGACAATGCTAATCATTTGTGTGCAATTTGTATCTTATTTACAAGACAGATGTAAACATATTGGCTAAAACTGAAAGCTTTGCAGCGGATGGGTCATTTCAATGGGAATTTTAATTATTGGTTGTTTATGTGCACTACGTGAACACACGATTTTGTCAGGAAATTAAGTGCTTCGTTTTCAAATGAACAATAACGATTTCAATATAAACTTTATCTTAATTCTATATGAGTTCATGGCAACAAGTGTCACATTAGAAATGAAAAAAATTCGGTAAAGATGTTAATATGTTTAGTTTGGAATACTTGCCAATGATTATGTGCCTATGTAAATCAAACCTTATGCTAAAGGTGTGCCTAACGATTTGATCAGAACAGTTTATGAAACACCAGATTAATTAATTGAAATACAGAACATAGTTATTCAGCCGTCTATATGCTTCCGTCCTGAAATGTTCACTCCAAATCACGTATTTGACATTTTGTGTGAAAAAAAACTCAAATAAAACTAGAAACGTCCCAAATATAAGATAGATTAGATAAAAATATTTTTGAAATTTCAATCTACCGATATAAACAAGAATGCTACATTGGTCATAAATTAGCGTTTCTGCTTCTTTTTTATTGCAATTGATATCAAAATCGCATTCAATCATTTTTATTTTATTTTTCTTTTCGTTTTTTTTTTTTATAAATATTCGGTTCCGTACTTTACCAGCCACGGAACAAGAAGTCAACTCCCACTGAACTGTTGTGTAGTTAAAATTAGATACATCTGGTGATAACATTTGATTAATTGTTTTAATCCTCATTTTATTGCTGTCTTTTGAAGCAAATTGATCGTTGTTCGTTTGTGAAATTCCGTGCTAACAGGAGATAACCGCTATGTGTTTTAATAGCTGAGGAGAATTTCCACAGATAGTAGGCGTGATTTTTTCAACCATTCCCTGAGTCAATATCCTCTCGGATTGTTTTTTTAGTTTGGATTCTATTTTGTCTGATTTAACTGTCTAACACGTTGATTCATATCGAGTAGGACGCCAGTCCATCACATATTTTCTCATAACGCAGATACCCATTTTAACTTATCTGTGGATGGAGTGGTTTGATGTGTCCCTTTCCACCTTTTATTTCAACACAAAGACTTGTTTCTTGTACATGTACGAAGGAAGTGAACTGAACACAAATATACTTTTTTTCATGTTTGAATAAATTATATTTATTTATCTGAATTTAAATATACAACTTGTTATTCAAAGATATTCTGAGACAAAATTAACAAATCAGCACTGTTACTGTTATCTCTGTAGTTTTCTCCATTTTCAATTTCTATTTCATCTCTTAAAAGTATACAGTACATACCTTAACTGTTCACAACTAATTTACTTTAATTCACGAGAACTGTTATTCAGACGTACTTTCGTACTTGTTTTCATCCAGAGAATACCAACATGGCAACATAATCATAATTCAAACTCAGATTCCATAAGACTATGGCAAAATATAAACAAAAAAAAGATTTTGTTCCGGAAGAGTAAACGTCGTCTGTTTCATCGATGACACCCGCCATATAAACCTTGGTCAGTCCAAGTAAGTATTGTCACGTTCTCAAAATAGAGCAAAGTATACAACAACAGAACCTACAGGCAAACTAACGAGCATCAAACATGTCCAGCTTCATATCACACAAAGAAATATGATATTTCTTAATGAGATCACTATGGCAACCACGTCAATTTTTTGTATGCAAGATTCAAAATATGTCTATTTTGGAATACAGTTTAAACCAAACCTAAATTACACAGGTAACAATGTATCCTGAAGAAGTGACCTGCACAGAAAATGAAGAGAGACTTAGAATTAAATTTGTTTGTTTTCTAACGTTTTATTTCTTTCCTGATAATTTTGTTGATTGTCCGTTTTTGTTTTTGTTTTTTTTTAATTTTAATGTCTTTTTTCTGTACTTTATTTGTTTGTTTTCTGTTGTTTTATTCGTTTGTATGTTTGTATCAAAAGCGTAGAGTGACAAAGTTAACATTAGTTTCTCCAATATTTTCTAATCCAAGAAATCTGTTGCATACCTCACATTAGTCGCCTCTTCTGATGTTGAGTGATGGCGTCGTAAATCTGGCCATGTAATTGCACAATTGATCAAAGCAGTGCATGTTTTTATTACAGAAATAATTCGAATACCAATCGCCAATATAACAATATTCTAGTCCATACCTTTCTTCATTGTTATAAAAAAGTGATGTTAACATTAGTATGGATTATTGTAATTTCTGGTGTTTCTGATGGTGGTGTTGAAATTTAAACCAATTTGACCCATTTTGGCCTTGATCCATTCACGTAACGGATCAAACGCGTCAAAGTGTGCAAACCTGAACAGTTGTAAACCACAATTTAACTCTAACGCCACATTAGGGACATATGTGAAATCCTAGGGTAAAGGAATTCACAATTTTGTTAAAGTATCTTAACAATATCTACTTTTACAATAGTTTGATCTTCAGAACAATTTTTCAGTCAAAAGGACTCTTTGTGGTTCCTTGGGGACTCTGAGTGTCGTATTATTAACAGTTTTTGTTCGAATTTGACTTTAAAAGGCTTCAGCAAAATTTCATTAAAATTTGAGGCAAGGTTTTTTTTGGCGTTTTTTTTAAATCGAAAATATCGATTGTTTGCGGAAGACCAACTGACAGCGGACTCGCGCATCACAACTGATTACCTGAGACATCGTCAAAATTTTGAAATTGTAAAATTTGAAAAATGTTCATTTGAAAGTAAATATGAAAATGAATACATACATTAAGCTAACAGTGCTTTGTATCCAAGGAATAAAACGCAATAGTATTAATTCTGCTACAATTAGTAAAACAATGGGAGAATATCAGTTACATAATCCCTGGTATTTATACACATTGATGATTAAATCTATTGAAACTATGTTTTTTGAACATGCGTCCATTCAAAAGTACATCGAAGCAAAAGCGGTTCAGAAGCTTTTAATTGATTTTCCGTTTTTTAATTTCATGTTTTGGAGATGATTTAATATTGAACGGCATTTGTTTTAATGATAAAAGCTTGCTAAGTAAAATACTAACTCGTATCGGGTCTGAAATATGAGCTCATTTTATTCACAACAATACAAATGCTTCCTTCTCCAGGGTTAATAGTGCCATTTGGAATATTAATGTCAGCGCCTCTTACACAAGCTACACATGGTCTTTATTTACGAATATTACATTTGTAATAAAATATTGGGTTAATCTATTTTAGGGTTAATATGTGTCTGAATTTTCAAAAAAAAAAAAAAAAAAA